ATCCACGTTTTTAGCCCATCTTTCCACCCCGCCGTGCCCTTGAAGTTGCAGTTTACTGAAGAAGAAAGAATTAAAGGTGAAGACTCGAAGGCCTGACGGGATGTTGACCACCTCATCATTCACCCTGCCGTCGGTAAGTGAGAGGGTGAGAATATCCTTCGCTGCAATTCGCAACTGACCATCGTGGAGGGTCGAGAGTACAGTGTCAGGTGGCACCAAGCCTCGTTCAATGTCGTCCAAAACCCGCAAGCTTCCAATCACAGTCACTGCTGTTCCAGGTGCCGTGGCCCGCACTACACAACATCGAGCGAAGGACAGGGGGGGAAGTGAGAAACGGAACACTAAGGATTCTCCTTCATCGCATGACGAGAAGCTAAGTAGTTCTCATACATGGCCTGACCCCTAGTCACAGATCGTGGATATGTCCCTTTCTCTGGGGGCATAAGGGAAAGACACTCCTCAATGGCAATGACATGCTCCTTCTTCCCGATTTCGACATCAACCCCCGACGCCTTTAACATGTCCTTGTGTTTTGTCGTCAACCCCGGGACTGTATGCAATATGTGTTCCGGATATTTAAAGGGTCTCCGTGTTCGAGACGACCCTACCCCTGTACAATAGAAGAAAGACAAAACGGAAAGTGAATACACGTTTCCGAAGAAGAACCCGACGGAATGACAATTAAAGGACCACGAAATCTAAAAGACGCAGGAGCCATGCAATTACAGAACCCCGTCATGCCATGAGAGTGCGAGAGAGAGAACTTCCACACGAGCCACGTTGCAAAACAAAACGAGCAGTGCACTCGAGCTCGACACCCCGCCCTTCAGAAGGGAAAAGCACATCAAGTCACAGAAGCGGAAGGCAAACATCTCTGAAGTCCGGATCCCGGCGGACTTTTCCAACCCAGGGAGATGACCCAACCCCTGTGTAACCGAAGGAAGAGAAAACGGAAAATGAACTCACGTAATCCAAGACGAACCCGACGAAAACGACAACTCAAGAACCACGAAATGTAGAAGACGCAGGACCTATCTATTTACAGAGCCCCGTTTAGCCATGAGAGAGATAGAGAATACTTCCGCCYAGGCCCCGCTGRAAAACAAAAGGAGCARWGCGTTCGACCTCGACACGCCCGCCCTTCAGAAGGGAAAACCTCAACAAGCCACAAACCCGGAGGCCAAACATTTGTGAAGTCAGGATCCCGATGGACTTTTCCCAATCGAGGCACCAGAAGAGTAACCGCGTTACGCAGCGGCCTTGGCARTGCGGATCCCRRCCGACTAAAACCACMTCTCATTCCGAAAGAGAAACACCATCCTTCCATTATGTGAGGGAACGCTTCAACAAAAACACACATGTTTTTGTCTTGTGCGCATTGACAGACACTGCGGTCACTGGCGCGCAAACAGAGTGGCGTTTGTCACTACTTACCAGCTGGTTTGTCTCTCCGCTCCTTTATCGGCGAAGTTGGCGTGGGCAAGGCCAGCACGTCGAGAGCTTGAGTGCCGGCGGCAGTTTTTTTCGGGGATGTGACATCTTCTCGTCCCCCGATCCCGCCTTCTCCTCTGCTGGCGATGGTCGGCCGCAGCATCGGAGAGCTCGTCGGCGAGAAACCGACGACAGATCCCCCGGAAGGTTTGACGTCGAGAGGGCCGTCGACACCAGGCGTCGAGGACCGCTGCGCGGACATGTGGTGGTCGCCCAGGATGCCGTCGATAACTTCTTCGATGTCAATACGCACACTCGGTTTAGTCAAGCTGACTGCTATACGAGCTTTGTTGAACCGGTGTTGGAAATCGATGGCAGACGTCATTGCTTGGACCTCATAGTCATCACGTTCTGCCGAAAGGCTTGTGACCACCTGTGTCTTCATACCCAGTGCCGTGTCATCGTCGTCCTCGTCTTCCCCGCGATGTTCTCCGTACAGCTGCCCGAATCCGTCAGAAGACTTCCCAGATCTGTCGTCGTCGTCGTCGGAAGTCCGTTCGTCGTCTCCTGTATCGAGTTCACCTTTTCCCCCCTCCTGCCCTCCTAGCAACCCAGCCAACTCCGTTTCTTTCCCYTCCTCTCCTTCATCCTCTTCTTCCTCCCCTTCATCCCTTCCTTCCTCCAATTCCTCCCCTGTGTCTCCTTCCTCCACTTCCTTCTCTTTGCCCATCACCCTGCCTTCTTCCCCTGCATGCAATGCAGCCAGTTCGCCCGAACCCGTGTCGATTCCCGATGAATGCGCTTCCCGCCCGCCGCACACAGCCCCTCCCGCCTGCACTAATATCCCTGGTTGGCCCCCCTTGCCTGAAGATGTTCGGATCCCGGCGAACTTAGCGGACTCCCTGTCGCTGGGCCCTCCACACGCCTTGCCTGAAGAAGTTCGGATCCCGGCGAACTTCGCGAACTTCGCCGTCTCCCTGTCGCCGGGTCCTCCACACGCCTTGCCTGGAGAAGTTCGGATCCCGGCGAACTTCGCCGTCTCCCTGTCGCCGGGCCCTCAACACGCACCCTCTCGCTCCGACCGAAGCGGTTGGCGATCCCCGACAGGCGGCGAAGTCCCGTCCCTCACCGCACCGTTGTCTATTTTGGGATGACGACTCGCCACCCCCGGTCCTAACCAGCTCTGTGCGTTCGTCCTCTCTGTCCGCTCTGCAAGCATTGAAGTTCGGATCCCGGCGGACTTGAACGTTTCGACCGAGTCGGCACAGAGAGCAACCAAGGCCGCCATCACTGAGCAGGTGGACGAACTGGGCACGTCCTCCGACTGTGCCGAGCATTCCAGACCGGGACCGGCAGACTGCTGACGCCCGAGGGCCTCCCCCACCACCCCGCCGCTGCCTTCCGCTGTCATGGTGTCGCCCTGAGACCCGCCCTCAGCCTCGTCGCCGTCTTGTTGTCGCCCCGGGACTCGTTTGCCGCCCCCAGCCTCGTCGCCCTCATTCTCCCCACCTTCCGGTCCCCGGGACCGTGTACTTACATGCGTCCCACTGGGAGGGGGGATTTTCCAGTCCACCCTTCCTTTCGAGGGGCTCGTGTCGAGGTCGTAGTAGTCCTCCGTCAGCTCCAACCAGCACTTCTCCTGAAGTTCGGCGAACAATTGCCCGGCTGTGGAAATGACGGACACGTCTTCGGGTGCGAAAGAGCCATTCTCGGCCCTCACTTTCTGGAGGACCGCAATTCTAGCGACGTCGAGGAAGTCAGACTTCGACCCGCAAGGGAGTGGCATCCATCCTCCGTCCGGAACAGCGACCGCCACGATCCACTCACCCTTTTGGATCGCCGGCTGGACGACTCCTGGATGCCAAATCATGTCATGGCCCCAGTCCGCCTCCGTGGAACGACTTTGAGGCTCAGGCAGGAAGTGAATGTTGGCATTCGTCCAAGACAGATGATCGGGTGGGATGTCAGACCCGGGACGCARTGAGCGATGGCCGGAGGCCAGAGCWTGCATTCTCTGCAGCAACTTCATCGGGGTAGTGCMAGGCRCCGGTTTCGTCATCGGTGACACGAGGGACGCTGGGCTTGTYGACGGACCTGCCAAGGACGRCCCTGTACCGTGCTGCGCGGAATGTTGGTCATACTGCAGGTCGAGGCTTTCGGTGTCGCTGCCCTCCTCGTCCGCAGTCGCGTCGAACTCGATGCCGGTGGTCTCCTCGTCTTCCGTGGAGATMAARRAGGAGTAACTGCCGAACGTCAGCTCCTCCTCTGACTCTACGAAGTAAAGGGATTGCAACCTCTCGAGGAAGGTCTTCGCATTCATGAGGGAKGCGCCGTGGTAGTTGTCGAGCAAYGTGAACATGTGGTCCTTGCGGCGCGCGTACTCGGCGTCGGTGTCTCTCTTCGGCCGCGTTTGCAGGAACAAGAAGTCGTATATCTTGTTCCGCTTCCTCGCACTCAACTTGAACCACATGTCMGTCTTGTTGTTCCAYGCGYGAGGGCGAGACTCRWTGACGACCATGAACTCGCAATTGTGGGCACCCGAATTGACCTCGCTTTTGACGAGATCAATTGTAAATTGCAAGAGCTCGGAGTTCCCTTCCATCGCGATGACGTGCCATCCTGCCTTTAGTACTTCCCAGACTGACCGCGCGTGTGGCTTCCCGAGGAGGACGACACCCTCCCCCTTCTTGGTGATGGATTCGAGAAGCTGAACGAATTGGGCGGGGTTGCGTTCCATGTCCCCGTACACAATGCCCCGACGTGCAGGCGAGGTATGCGACCAGTCGCAGGCGTTGAAGGGGATGTCGGACACATCCATTTGCGTAACCTTTTGTGGTACCCGCACTGCAGCAGCGGCGCCTGCCGGCAGTTTCCCCTTGTAGACGACGGACGTGTTGGCCCCGCAAATCGTCGCCTTTGAAGAGTATGTACATCCGGTCGTCTTCCGTGTACAAATTGTTCCCGACGGGGAAGCTTTTCTTCTGTTGACTCCTCCTCACCCTTTTCCCTTCCAGCAGCTTGACGAAAGAAAGATGGTTCATGCTGGCCAGAAAGGAGAGGTTCTGCTGCCGCGGGACAAAAACAACGAGCGTCCAATGCGATGGACACCACGTCTGGAGTTAGGGATTCAGAGTGTCGAACGCTTGCGGTTTCCAAAGCTTCACGTCCACCGGTTCGCACAGATCGAGGACGAACGTGTGACTCTTTGTGGCAACCACTGCCTCCTTCACCTCCGCACTCCTTATGTCTGCCTCCAAGGGGTCGTTGCCGAATGGCGCGATGGATGTCACGTCGCCCGTGTCATTCCATTTTATGTGCACAATGCCTTCGGCGAGCGAGATCTCTCGACTCTTCAGTCTACTGCCAGTCAACACGGACAGGACCTTATTCCGCCAGTCGACGGACAGCTTCTTGTGACCGGCCAGCTTCTCTGTCGCCTCGATTGATCTGTTGTCGTCGCAGCCCATGTAGGGCGGGCAGTCCTTGAACAGCGAGGAGTCAGTGACGTATTTCGTGCTCCCGTCCCACAACTCAGCATCCAAACCACGACTCTCAAACTGTCTGAAAATTGCGGACCTTGATTTCAAGAACGGGAACCTCTGGCTCCAATCCGCGTCCGGCCTTTTGTCGTGCTTGAACTAATAGTAGTTCCACAGACGCACCAGCACCCGGTCGCACTTCACCAAATTCACCACCTCCTGGACGCTCAGCTTTCCGAGCTTCGCCAACGCTGGGGAGCCGGCCTGTACCCAAACCACCTCGCAAGCGAGCACCTTCTTCAGAACGCGGCACTTCTCGTTGTCTGTCAGCGACTCCATCGTTTTCCAACAATGCGCGTCCGRCTCTGGCACTTGCACGAACCACTCGCCCTCCTCTTTCTCCCTTTYGCCTTTCTTTGTYGGCGGGTCCACARGGACGTTGTACACGACCTCCTTCCTGCCCAGCTTGTCATTATGGATGTATGTAACCCCAGGCTTCACGTTTTTGACTTTCTTCTTCSGCATGATCCACTTCGCGCCGTCGTGTCCGAGCAATCTGCCTGTCTCCCATTTCTCGAAAAAGTCGACGGCCAGTTTCCAGACGTTCTCCCCTGCCATCRCCAGYGGGAAATAGGAACGCAGGGCAGCGCCTTGTTTCCTGATGGCCTCCTCGCCCTGCTGATCTGCGAGAATCCACAAGTTGTTGTGCGGTGTCATGTTGAGTGCGACATTACAGAATTCACGCCACTTTCGGACCTGATCCTGTTTTCCGATGGGGTTCCCCATAACAGCACGCGGGCAACCGGCGCGCTTCCACTGCCACCTAATGTCCCTCATTGACAGCTTNTCGCCCTGCTGATCTGCGAGAATCCACAAGTTGTTGTGCGGTGTCATGTTGAGTGCGACATTACAGAATTCACGCCACTTCCGGACCTGATCCTGTTTTCAGATGGGGTTCCCCATAACAGCACGCGGGCAACCGGCGCGCTTCCACTGCCACCTAATGTCCCTCATTGACAGCTTCAGCTGTCGTGGGGGCGCCTTCAGGTCCTTCTTGTTGTCCTGGGAACTGACAAGGAAGTACCCTTCGAAGTCGTCGTCCGAGAAGTAGACCATTCGTGCAGGCCACCGCTCGGAATTGTACTTCCTGGCCACCTCGCTGCCGAGCAGCGACCTCGCTTCAGCCGCGTTGTGCTGCCCACACACCGCGTAGTAGTAGTATTGTCCCGCCAGCTCATCCCTCCAATCCTCCGGTCTCAAACGTTCTGCCTTGGTCCCCGGAGTCGGTTTATCAAGCCCCAACGACGCCAGTTTCAGGGTTGGTAAATCGTAAGACAGGGCTTTGTTTTCGAAAGCCAACTGCCTCGCTTCTTTGATCCTTTCCACGAGCACGGGATCTAGGGACCGCTGGTTGTACAGGTCCTCCCAGTCCCCGAGGTCGACGACCTCCGCAGGGCTAATGTCGAACTCCCGCTTTGTCCGAACGCCGTCTTTGTACTCGAGGAAGTACCCGGCGTCGACGTCGATGGGAGTCCCTRTTGTCGRTGGAGAAGACGGTCCAGACTCAGGCTGCTTCTGTCTCGAAGACGGTCGTTTGGCAACCTGCCGGCCCTGCTCCCCCTCGGTCCCCTTTCGTTTCTCCCCCACAGTCTTGGAGGCCTTGCTCTTTAACTTCTTCGTAGAACCGGCAAACTCGTCTAGACGATCCCCCCTCCTCTTTTGCGGAGCTCCTTGCCAGCCCAGGCCTCCCGCGTCCACCTCCTCCAGACCCTGTCCCTCGCTCGCCTCCAAGTCAACCTCCGAATAGGCCGCCACCTGTACTGCAGGCCCCGTACTCTTGAGCTGAACCGGAGCATCAGTCTGATTCCCAGGAATAGACAACACAGACCGCCTCGTGTCACTCAACGGCGGAGCAGTCCCTTCATCCTCGCTGTCGTCGAACTGACCTCGGCTCTCGCCACAGTGCTGCTGAGTGGCGGGACCAGAACCCAGATCACCGCCCTCCGTCGCTGCCCCGCTTGACTCGCAACCGCTGCACAGCTTCAACGGCAACGACAACTCCAGGGATGGGTTGACGTCGCAGGGGACGTCTAGAGCGATGCTTTTGTCCTCCAACATGTCGAAAATTTCACTCGCCAAAACAAAACCGCCCCCGAGAACGAGTTCTCTGTAGAACGGGGTGTTGACAGCACCCGCTCCGAACTCCTCACACAATTCGAGGTCCAACAACGTCCCTTTCGAATTGGCAACGACGTTGCCCTTGGTGCATAAACTTTCTGCATATAGAAATGTCGCCGGCCCCCCTTTGCGTCCTCTCACCGCAAGACGACACCAAGCACTCTACGCCTTCTGCTGTCATCGATGAAGATGACAGGACCACATGGCTGCGCAATGGGGTTGGAAGCGTCTCCACAGCACCAGTCGATGAACCATTTCGACCTCGAATGGTTCGACTACCCCTGCGTGGTAGTAGACGACCGCCTCATGGAATCTTTTCGTGATTCCTTCCCGGAGGTCCCTGTTGGCTCCACCTCGCCCTTGGAAGAAGACATACTGTCTGCCAACGACAACGCAAATCGAACAGCACACCATGAAGTCAACGTCTRGCAAAACACAGGAGAAACWWAACACTCGCTGCCGCAYGTCARCGCAGGTTGTAGCGCAGYGAAAGCCGCACACGAAGACACCTGGGCAMCCAAATCCAGAAYGGTGAGAAGGGGTAGTCCGCCGGGATCCGAACTTCAAGTGGGCAAGAGACCGAGAGGCAGACAGAGAGAGAGAAGCAAGTGAAAACTCGCAGTGCGCATGGGATCACACGCTGTTTATGCGGCACACGGGGGACCCCGAAGAACAAAGACAGACAAACGCACAGTGAAAATCGCGAAGTCCGCCGGGATCCGAACTAAAGGACGGTGCATGAGATATAGACAGCGGAAGCAGATTTCGGGAATTTTTCGCAGGAATCAACTGACGGTCATGTTCGAAGCTCGCGCTCGGCGGGGTAGTGTTCCTGACAGTCCAACAGTCGAAGCTCGCCGCGAGCCAAACAAGAACAGAGAGGCAGCCATGCAACCAGCATCCCAGAACCGTGCTCGACCAAACGCACTCCGGAACCGTTGCCGGGCGGGTTGTGCAACCCACCCGGAACCACGAAGACTCACAACAAAGCAACGCACCTCCCGAAACGTGAAGTCCGCTGGGATCCGAACTTCAGGATGATGCGACAGGCAGAAACGGCGTCTCGGACACACGATCCGCAAGTCTAAAGTTGTTAAACTCAAACCCGACCCAGGAAGGCCACACCGGAACGAAAGGCTGGTTGAAATGGAGAAGTCCGCCCTAATCCGAACTACACTGATTTCCGATCTCGCGTTATGCACAGCTTGGCACTGGATGAACCCAAGGTCGAACGCGACAGCCGTGTCAACATTTCGTAGGTCCTTGGACTCTGGCTGTTGCTGGAATCCACGAGGGATCCGGAAGACCACCGTCTGTGGCAATAGACAGGCGACTCCTGAAGTTCGCCGGGATCCGAACTTCAGGAGGACGCGAGAAAGAGAGACAGAGAGAAACATTGGAGCAACTCCGAGTCCAAACGCAAGACGCTGTTCTACCAAGCCGACCGCAGGTTTTGATGGCAGCAGTCATTGAGTCCAGGCGCGATTGGTAGCAGGACCGTTTCCGACTCCGCTCAACACTCGAAGCTCGGAGGCCGGWAGGACGCACAGGCCAAACCGCGAAGTTCGCCGGGATCCGAACTTCAAGAGGGCGCGACACGGAAAGAGACGGCGTGCACTAGCAACTGCTGCCTCCCGCGCCTTTCTCCACTACTAAAACTCTGCTATGTTCAGCATCACACAATCCTCTCACTCGTCTCCCTTCTTTTCGCTTAAGCAGGATGTCCAACCACACGTCCAGATCTTGTGACAATCGCGGTTCCCCGGGGACGAGGTCGCGAACCGTAGCCATACAAAGCATTTATTGACGATCCTTAAACGCGGACCAGCGGATCGTCGACCGTTGCAGTTTTCGAAAAGACGGATATGTATTTCATCCTAACAAACACTCCCGGTCGTGCTAAGGAGTTCCCTATACAGTCCCGTATGGCGGACACTTTCTCCTCGACCTCCCTAAGCAACGAAAAGTTTTGGACCGGCCCTGCTATAACCAAATCTCGCCACCCATCTACACGTTCAGGCCCGGGCGTCGGCACAAATTTGGACCCCTCAATYACCACSTCGTTGCGTGATACAAGCACAACTGCATCGACGAGTTTCCTGCTCTTGTTCGAWGCAGCGACACAWARGACTCTGGCGAAATCGGACCCGGACACAGTCAATCGCACACAACAGTATGACACAACTTGTGGAGAATTCCCMGGGCACCGGAGTGGGTACTGGCCCAGGAACGAGCAGTGACGAGCGCAGTCCAGCAACTCTTGTTTCCGCGAGCCTCCCCAAGTTCGTGGYGACGACCTGACGTAGTGGCATTCGAGGCGKCCAATGCAGCCCAGTGCTCTGCGCATGTGGTTCGGGAACTTGTGTCCGAGGACAGCGTCAGACAGCGGGATGAGGTTCCCGAACTCCAACATGTTGGCGAATTTGTAYTGGCTWGCCCAAGGGCAGYGACTCTCCATCGTGGCCCAATTCCCATCGCACCAATCGTCAATATGCGTGTCCCTGCATGGGACGACGGTCATCCAGCGGTCCTCGTCGAAGTCCTCTGCSGTCGCTCCGTGGATCGTAGTCACACYGTTGAAATGCCGCACTGATCTCGCGCAAGGAGGAAACGGTTCTGCCAAGCGAATGTGYGTTTCGGGACTCATGGTTTSTGGTGTCGAGAAGATCGACTCAAAGATTCGTGRTGTCGAGAAGGTCYCATCCATTACGCCCCCTACACACCACGCGCACATACCAAACGACACACACGGGGACGCCGACACTCGTAAACATAGTTGGCAAGCAATCAAACGACATAGGTCCCTCGCTGTGGTTGTGCACTGGGGTTGGAACGCGAGTTGGGTTTTACGATAGGCAAGAACCTGAAGTTCGCTGGGATCCGAACTTGGCGGAATGCCGTGGGAGAGACACTGGTGTCTATCAAACTCGCCTTTCCATTCTTTTTTTCTTTCTTGAAGTTCGGATCCCGACGGACTTCACATTTTCACAGGTCCACTGCTGTGGTTGTGCACTGGGGTTGCAACTCGAGTTGGGTTTTACGAAAGGCAAGAACCTGAAGTTCGCCAGGAACCGTACTTCGCGAAATGTCGTGGGAGAGAAACAGCTGTCTGTCAAACCCGCCTTTCCATTCTTTCTTGAGATTCGGATCTCGGCGCACTTCACATTTTGACAGGTCCACTGCTGTTGTTGTGCACTGGGGTTGCAACTCGAGTTGGGTTTTACGAAAGGCAAAAACCTGAAGTCCGCTAGGATCCGTACTTGGCGAAATGCCGTGGGAGAGAAACATCTGTCTGTCAAACTCGCCTTTCCATTCTTTCTTGAAGTTTGGATCCCGGCGTACTTCACATTTTGACAGGTCCACTGCTGTTGTTGTGCACTGGGGTTGCAACTCGAGTTGGGTTTTACGAAAGGCAAGAACCTGAAGTTCG